ACCGGGACCGCGCGGCAGCAACCACCGCCACGGCCGCCGCCAGACCTACCCGCCTGTCTGCCGCGCAGCTCCAGCCGTACCCCTCCGCTGCTGCCGCTGCCAGACCCGCCCGCCCGCCGCACAGCTCCAGCCGTATCCCCTCCGCTGCTGCCGCCGCCAGACCCGCCCGCCCGCCCGCCCGCCGCGCAGCTCCAGCCGTACCCCTCCGCTGCTGCCACCGCCACGGCCGCCGCCAGACCTGCCGCCCGCCCGCCCGCCCACCTGCCGCACAGCTCCAGCCTTACCCCTCCGCTGCTACCGCCGCCAGACCTGCCCGCCTGTCCGCCGCACAGCTCCAGTCCGGGCCCCTCCGCTGCTGCTAATTGCGAGCAGGTCATTAATCGGCCCACCGCGGAAAATTTACGACCGGAAACGAGAAGAGGGCATTGTTTTAAAAGATGATTAAAAGAACGGCGCATTCGGAGGCAAATCGAGTCACACCGGTGTTGCACGGCTAGCGTTGCAGTAACGTGCAATTCCGGTCAGTACGCGCCATTAACGTCATCATGACACGGCGTTTGTGCACGAGGCTGCAAGCGACGCATCTCCTTTGGACATAAATACGATATTAATTGATCCAGGCAACAATGCGCAGGCTGCGTGATAATTTCACGACGCTCAAAACACAATATGCCAACATGCACAATTTATAAAGGAATACTTGAATGGGAAAATCCAACCGCAGCAACAACAAAAAAGCTGAAAATGATTGTCATTGATTTTATCCACTCCCCTCCAAACGGGTTCATGCAGAGCTTTAAGAGCCGAAATGTGCAAGCTGCTGTGGGAACGGGACAAAACGGCGGGACCAAGCACGACACACAGCACACTCGGCGACCGGCACCAGAAAGTGACACCCCCTAACCTGCTTCTCACGACACGCGGACGCACCTTGATCACCGCCGCATTCCGGGGCTGGCGGCCGTTTGACCGGCTCGGGTACGGCCCGGCCGGTTCGTCCCGCGGCCGCACCGTCCGGCTCGGTCCGCGGCCGGACCGGCCGGCCCGGATACGAACGGGTCTACTCTTATGAGGCGGGCGGTGCATCTTTTACGCGATGAGCCGGGCCTGGTCGATACACGGCTGAATCTTTAATGCGGTAATCAGTTTGGCCACCCTCAGGTTGTCAACACAGTCTGATTAACGCTGGCGACAGGAGGGCCTTGGGACCGGGGCTGTTCTGGAAGCTGTCGCACCCCTTTCTCGCTCAGCCGCCGTCCATGAAGAGAATACGGGCGCTGAGTCGTGGTGGACGCTGGCTGATGTCCGATCGGAAATACGTCCGAACCCGCCAGGGTGGCCTGTATTTTCGTCCAAATGAATGTGTGCTTGTAGCCTGATATGCATGCATGCCTTTTGCCCGGCTGGTACAAAGGCGGCCGTTAAGTCGTGCATGTCGCCGTGTCCGAACACAGTAAATGCGCCGGGCGGAAGCGCATTCATTTGAGTCAACACGCTAGGCGAAAATTTAGGGTAAACGGCCTCGTTGGGCTAGCTATTCCCGTGCCGTGACCTCAGTGAACACCGAGGCACAGCCATTCGAGCTTAGCACTCCGAGTAAGACGCATTCAAACGGCACCAGTGCCAAAAGAAGTCTTGGTGATCGTGGGGCCCATCAATCCCAGAAACTATGCAGGCACGGTTACCCTGTTAGTAAGGCGGCATTTACCGATGATATTATATATATATATATATATATATATATATATATATATATTCGCTCAGATATCTAAAAGTCATCGCATATACGCTCTAATAATCACGTTATAACTTTGGTCAAGGCCCAACATCACAAAATGCACATTTCTTACTAAGGCTTCTCAAATCACGTCGTTGACAAAACATAAGATTTCTCCAGACTGTCTCCGCTCAACCGAACATCGCGTTATCGTCTTCGCCGCGATCCCGCGCCCAGTCGGCTCCGGTCAGCTCCGGTCGGCTCCGGCGCGTGCCGGTCCGGCTCCTGGTCTGGTTCCCGGCTCCCGCCGGGCTCCGTCCGCGTCCAGTCGGCCCGGTCGGCTCCGGTCAGCTCCGGCGCGTGCTGGCCGGCTCCCGGCCCGGCTCCCGGCCCGGCTCCCGGCCCCCGCCGCGCCCCGTCCGCGCCCAGTCGGCCCAGGTCGGTTCCGGTCGGCTCCGGCGCGTGCCGGCCCGGCTCCCGGCCCAGCTCCTGGCGTGCGGCGGCGGTCGACAGATTTACCGGGCCGTAAAGAGCGGCGCGGCGGCCGCGGCCGGCGGGGGGCAGCGCCCATCCATCGCGTCCGGCGGCGCAAGAACCGGACCGCGCCGAGCCCGGCGGACGGCTTCATTTGCCGGCCCGCGCGCCGCGGCTCCCGGCAGGGAGACGGCTTCATTTACCGCGCGGACGAGGCTGGCGTCATTCGGGCGAGGGCGAGGAGGGTCTGGCGCGGGTGAAGGGATCATGACGTGGTGGGCGGCACTTGTGGCACGGTCGGAATGCCCCTGACGACGTTGAGACGCTTTTGGTGGGATGAGACGCTTACAGCGCGGTTGAGATATCTCCAGTGCGGCCGCAGCGCTCGTGCAATTGAGGTGTTTTTGGTGCGGTGGGGGCGTCTGCTAGCACGGCTGACATGCCTCCTCGGCTGTCGTCTCTGGCTCGGGGAGGGGGCGGGAGCTTCTGGCGGCTCAGTAGCTAGTAGTGGTGGAACGGCGGCTGGCGGTGAACGCTCCCTATGACGGGCCTGACCGCCGTCACCAGACACGTCATGGTCATGACGGGGATGGATGTGGGTTGCGGGGTCCGTACTTTGCTAAGGACACAGGCAAGCCCTGCCACCTCCCGACTTTGCCGATCATGAGGCGCGGAACCCTTAGTCTGGCTGGCTCCGGCTCGTGCCGAGCCAAGTGTAGCTTAGCTCGCCGACCGTGAGCGGTGCTCAGCAGCGAGAGCAGGGCGCGGTGCCCGGTCCGGGACGGGGATGGGCCTGGTGTGCGCCGCCGTCCGGCTGCTGTCCGGTCCGGACCAGCAGCTGACAGCCCGGGCTGACTCGGAGTGGACCACGCGGCCCCTAAGCCTGGCGGAAGGTCAGTGTGCCAGCACGTGTTGCCTCCCGTCTGGCGGCGCCCGAGACGTCGCAGCGCTGGTCCCAGCCGCGTCCCCTCCGTGTCGGCCACCCCCCACGGCCCACTGCCATCGGCCGAGTCACAGGGACACGCCGCCGCCATGTCGCTCCCGGATGCAGCCCGTAACAACACCTCAAACGGGCCGAAATGTCGGGAAGCGGGTTGAGAGCGACCGCATCGGGCGGGGAGGTGGGTCGCGGAGGGCCAGGGACGGCGCAGAGGGGGCCACCCGGTTAGCACCCGTTTTTGCCGCCGCCCCCGCTTCTCGGCCCTCTCAGCAATGACGGCTGCAGTTTTGTGACATAATTGCGACCATTTGTGGTCACTCGGCGTCTTTTGTAGCGCTGCCGCTCGCATTTATCACCGGCGACCGGCGCCGCGCCGCTGGCGCCGCGCGGCGGGAGATCCGCGAACTAGCCGCGCGCGCCGCGGGGCGCCCGCCGCTGGAATCGGGTGTGAAAAGGCTCCATTGAGCCGCGTTGTGGCGCCGATTGAAGTGTGATCAGCGCTGATGGCCCGTGTAAACAGGCAATTACGGAGCGGCCGCGGCCGGCGGGGCGTGAGCGCGGCCAGCTCGCTGTCGCGGGCGCCGCCGCCGGGTCGGGACGTCCTCATCACGCGCCGCCGCAGCCCTCGTCACGGCCAGCGGACGAGGAGAGGCTCGCCCTCCTGCCGCACCAACTGAGGAAGTTTCCAGACAGAGTGCGATCGGGTCTTTAGGTTCGCTCGTGCTGCGGTGGTGCGCGAGCAGTCGGGCCTCGAGCGGTGGGTGGTCTGTCAATGTTTTAGGTGAGAGTGCGTGTCATGCATTTGAACCCGCACACTCAACCTGGTGGTGGAAAAGGTGGTACGAAAGTTAAAATGCATGGGAATTGTTCGCTGACTTTGCTAAAAGTTCTAACATCAGTACCCAAAGTTCAGCGGGCGGTTGGATTTTGGATATCGGTTAGGCTGTTCTCCAAGCTCATGGGCTCCAACCTCAATATCGTTCCCTCGTCGGTCTTCCCGAACGTAACCACGGGCTTACTGTCGGTGACTCACAGAAAGCGGATGGGACACGACACGTGCCACACCCGATCCGGGCTCCTCGGCCGGCGACCGCAGCGCCACCTGGCGGGTCTCGCCGGCCGGAGGCGGCGTGCCCGTGTCACGTCCCGCGGAGGCGCCGGCGGTCGCGTGAGGCCTGGCGTGACGAGGCCGCCGGCCGGGTGTTTAGCTGACGGCAGCCTGTCAGTCCGGCCAGCGACACGCGGCCGGCACCGGCGCCGGCACCCGCACGGCGGGAGCCCGCGCTCCGATTTCAATTGGGGTTTTTCTGGCGCGCACCGGCGCTGTAATTCACGGGCGCCGTTATTTCCCAGTCCGATGTTACCCGAGCAGTTAGGACCGGGTGGTGTGCGTGAGCCGCGATCGTTAAAATCCCTCTCGGCCGGTCCGGAGACCAAATAATTTATTAGCCGCATTATTCATGACGGCCGGATCAGATCTGGTGCGTCTGCGTTTCCGGGCCGAACGGGAATTAGAAAGGGCCACCGAGCCGGGCCCTTCTCTGGCCGGTCGACTGCACCCGCTGTTTGCTGCCGCGGCCGACAGGTGTCTCTGCTGGGCGGGGGCGCCCTGCCGCGCGAATGGCGCGGCCCGGCGGGGTTTGTTTACACTGCGGCTCGAGTGGCGCCGTGACGTCAGAGGCAGGACGGAGCCGTCCGTGCGCGGATGTGGCTACGCCCCGCCCAGCGCGAAGACCCCTGGATGGAGCTGGATGGATGGCTTGATGACTGGGCTCGGGCCGGGCGGTGTTTGTGGCGGTGGAGGTTCGAATCAATCAGCGATCACAACAGACTGAGTGCCGGACGGATGAAGTGAAGGGCTATGATGTGCAGCTGCAGACGGCCTCCAAATGTGCACTGGTCAAGGATTGGTGCGGAGGGAGTGAATGAGCTCATTCAAAACAGGTGTGTCTGGCAGTGCTGCACCGGGTAAACAACCTATCAAACGCGGAACGGATCATTTGGGGTGTTATCTTTCAGATACGTTCATCTGCAATGCAAATCCGAGCGCACGGCGCAATTTCTGCTGATTGCTACCGCAAATCCTGCATTGCGACCGTCTGGGGCCTCGTCGGAATCTCGGCAGCCGTCCTTCCTTGCGTCTCGCTCCCGTACCCAGCCCCCGTGTCTCGCTCCCGCAACCCTCCCCTGAGTCTCGCTCCTGTTACCCTTCCCCTGCGTCTCGCCCCCGTTACCCTTCCCTGCGTCTCGCTCGCTCTGTGATGCCCCGGCCTGCGGCATCACAATGCTACCCCTGTCCTCTGCTTCTGCCTGCAGTCTGACACCGTGCAACAGTTGATATAGGAAATGTTGCGCATCCGCCCTTCGCCAAACGCCCTGCCCTCTGCTCTCAGTCTGATGTCAGCCGTGCCCTCTGCCTGTCCCGCGCCTGCAGTCTGGCGCCGTCTCCGCCCCTGCCCGCAGTCTAACGCTATCCGTGCCGCACCCCGGCCCGCAGTCTGACACCATCTCCGCCCCTGCCCGCAGTCTGACATCGTGCACCAGTCTGTGTACGAGCTGGTGCACTCCGAGGACCGGGACGAGCTGCAGCGACAGTTCCTGTGGAACGGCTTCCTGCCGGCCGAGCGCGCCAGCATGACCATGCAGGAGGTGCTGCAGCCGGAGAACGCCCACCTGCTGGAGCGCAGCTTCACCGTCCGCTTCCGCTGCCTGCTCGACAACACGTCCGGCTTCTTGGTGAGCAGGCGCGGCCGGCTGACCAGCTGCTGTGGCTGGTCAGCGCTGGGGTCGAGTGTGGCGGTGTGGCTAGTGTGGCTGGAACGTTATGATGGATGTGATCGGTACATGTATATTGGCTTGGCTGGCGACCATATGTGTGATCTCGGATACCCGACGGCTGAAAAAACTTCAGAACCCAGCGTATACACTCAAATCGAGCGACGCCTCGAATTTACGGCAAAGAAACAAAAAGACACAGACATGTTTGCGTTTTTCTGCCTTCTCAGCCGACCATTCGCGCGAGAGCAGCTATATGCGTCATCAAATCCTGCGTCAAGCGGTCTGATGAAACCTGTAATGAAGTTCGGGTTAGCTCCTGAATCAGCACAGGACATCACACCTGCCCTGCGTGCCGCGTGCTGATTGGCACACCAGCCTCCCCCGACCCCGAGCCCGACCCTGACCTGACCCTGACCCTGACCCCGACCCCGACCCCGACCCTGACCCCGACCCCGACCCCGACCCCGAGCCCGAGCCCGAGCCCGACCCCGACCCCGAGCCCGACCCCGAGCCCGACCCTGACCCCGAGTCCGACCCCGAGCCCGACCTCGAGCCCGACCCCGACCCTGAACCCGACCCCGAACCCGACCCCGACCCCGACCCCCACCCCGACCCCGACCCCGAGTCCGACCCCGAGCCCGACCCCGACCCGACGCGGCCTCGCCGGGGCGCCGCGGACAGCTGGTGACGGAGCGGCCGGAAGCGGGCCGTACCTATCGGACGGAATCGGACGGCCGCCGCCCGGCTCGGCTCGGTTTTCCGGGTCGTCATTAGGGCTCGATTTGACGGGCACCCACGTCATCCTTCATGCAGCCTATCGGCGCATCGGAGCGGCCCGACGGCGTCTCGGGCCGCTGGTGTGCGCTCAGCCGGCCGGCGCGGGCCCCCGGCGAGTTTTTTTTTTACTGACGTTGAGATGCGTCCAGTCACCTCCTGAGACGGACCAACCGCACGGCGAATGCAGTCTGCGGCGAGAGGGAGGACGGGTTAGGCCATGGCAGATGTCGCGTTTCCCCGGCTTCACGTCGCATGTCGCGCGGTGGCGTGAGGAGCATGTGACTCGTGTATGGGGCCGGTTGAGGGCCAGGTGGGGCGGGATAGCCTGACGGGGCCGGTTGAGGACCAGATGGGGCGGGATAGCCCGGCTGGTCGACAGGAAAGCCCTGAGCTGCTTCGGCTCGCCGCCGTAAGCTGCGGGCGGCGGCCGGCCCTTTCGTGTCGCTGTTCGGGTTATCCCGGCCGGTGGCTGATCCGGCGGCTTAGCGATCCCAACTGGCGCCCTCGCCATGCCACGGCCGGTGCATGTCCAGCGGCCCTCCATCCCCTGATGCGCCACACGGATTGCTGGCAGAGATCGGTGGAGTCTGGTAGACGTCGGCAGATATTCCGCGACGCTCCATCCCCTGACATGTCACGCCGTCCCAGGCCAAAGTCGGCGGAGGCTGGTAGAGCCCGGTGGAGTGCGGTAGAGTCGGTGGACTCTGCCGACGCCCGCCCCGACGCCCCGAGGCTGTCACCCCTGACCTACCCCAGCCGCTGCGTGCTACGGCGACCACAGCACGTGCCACTCCTGCTCCGGTGGACCACGATCGGCCCTGAGATTGCACGTGCCTGGCGCGCCACAGTTGTCTGCAGCGCGACGCGTTTGTAGCCGGCGCCGGCGTCACCGGTTGTGGTGCGGCGGAGACGGCCTTGCCGGCGACACGGGGTCGACCGCGGCTCGGTCGGGGCCGGCTGCCTGGGTGGCGAGGTCACGAGCTGACGGAGGCCAGACAGGTGATCATAGAGCACGGCTGGGGCCAGTGTGACGTGCTCACGTGCTCTCAGGTGGGGCATGCTGGCGTTTCTGGTGCATACCGCATGCCAGCAGGCGTGCGGTTATGCGGTATTACACCCCCTGCGTGACGGCTGACTACCAGGATTGGGTCCACCCATACTGTTTCTTAATTTCATCTTTCGCGAAGGAAAGGGACGACTGATTTAAAGGTTGCCTTTCAACACACACAAAAGCAAAATATCTGAAAGTGTGTCACTTCTGTGTCTTGTTTTCCTTTGCAATATCGAAGACTAGAACGGCACTATGAGGAGCAAATACAGCCGCCAACTTGCATATTGTTGGGCCAAAATTAGGCCAAAACTATGCAGATTTATCGCAGAGTATATAGCTTAGCAAAAGGCGGCGCACGAATAAGGAGAAAATACCTCAACTGTCGTCCGTCAATCGAACAACAATATTCTGTTAGACAGTTCAACCCGTCGTTAGCTTCAAAAATGGTATACATAAAGCAATGCATCGTGCTGAAATTAATAAGCATAGCGCATTATGTAATGCATTCTTGCCTAGGGAATTCATCCCAGCAAACCGTTGTGTGCAGGAAAAAACCTTCCGCTAACCGACAAACGGGGTCCCACGGCTACCAGTCAGTTATTGACCACCGCCTCACGCCACCACGCGGGCTTCCAGCGCCGCACCCACTCCCACCTCCAGTCCCGCCCGTACACTTCCACTGGCCTCCCATGAACCGCCCTACTCCGCCAGCCGCGTCGGCAGCCACGCAGCCCGCACAGGCCGGGACGCGCACCTCAGCACGTGGGCGACCCGTGGGCGGGGCGACCATGTGCGCGGCGAGGTATTGGTGCGGTGAACATCCTAGGTCCGGCTCCCAGCTGCCCTGCGCGGATTAGCGCGCAGCGGAGAGGTCCAGTGCGTTGACTCGGGTGCTACGTCAAGGTCGGTGGCCGTCGCAGTCGGTTTTGTCAGTTCTGACTCCATCGTCGCGAAGCAGCTGCCGAGCCACCCATCGTCATCACTTATCATCAGCTGCCATTGGTTTGGACCAGTCGGCAGGCAATTAATTGGCTTTCGACCGGGATTCAGAATGGAGATCTGTGACGGCGTCATCAGCCCTTTTCGGTGTTCACGCCAGCGGCCACTCCATCACTCACACCATTCACCCGCCGGTCATTCAGGACGATCCCCAAACTGCATCTCACAGGAGTGTCACATCCCTCATCCAAAACGGTCCCCGCTTCGTCATGCTCGTCCTCGTCACCTTTCAAACTTCCACAACAGCCAGCTGTCAGCGCCATCAGCGCCATCAGCTCCATCAGCGCCACTCATCACCTCCATCATCACGCTCACCACTCGCCTCGCCCCTGCGAGTGATCGGCACCAGTCCTGTCAGTTCTCGCCGACTCCTGCAGCCTTCCGCCGGCGCCCGGTGCCGGCCGCCCGAGCGCCTCTGTTTTCCTCATAAGCAGCCGTGTAATGGGACCTTGAGGGCGCCCCAGCCCGTCTTCATGACGTCACGGCGGGTCTGGGTGGCCGCCGGCGGAGAGGCCCCGCCAGGACTGCAGCCGCGCTGCGGCGCGAGCGGTACCGGCGCCGGTCCAGGACAGCCCAGGGAAGTCGCGCCTGGACGGGGAAGCCACGCGCGAGCACCAGTGGGTGAAACCCCGCGGCGGCACGCGGGCGCCGTCCCCGGCCTGGGTTCAGGACTGGGAAGTGGGCTAGGTGCTCATTGGCGGGTTGAATGCGGGTGGAGCGTGACACTAGAGATGGAAGTCAAGGTGCTGAGGCCGGCAGGTACCGGCAGGTGCTGAGGCCGACAGACCCCGCTCCTGAGGAGCTGGCCGCGTCGGCAACTTTGTGACGCCTTTCGAACAGCACTTGCGCCTCGGAAACGCGCGTCCCGCAAACGCTTCGCATATCTCCTCGGGCAGCAAGCATCCGTTCGGCTTCTGCATGGCGGGTCACCAGGTGCAGCCGTCAGTCTGAGTCGGGTGGAAGCCGGTCTGGGCTGGGTGTAAGCCGGTCTGGGTCGGATGCGAGCGTCCGACACTGTCAGTTGTCGCGCCTCGTCTTACCGCATGTTTCAGGCTTAATTTGTCCGGTCCTGCTGCCGCGCCCCTGGGAACTGAGCGTGCCCGCTGACTCTCAGCTTCAGCCTGTCTCCATGACGTCAGTCCGGTCCTGGGCGGATCCTCGGCCCGCCCGGCCCGCCCGGTCCGTCCGGTCCGTCCGGTCCGCTCTCTGGTGGGTGCGGTCCGGGTGCGGTCCATTCTGTAGGCGGTCGCCCGAGCTTGGGAGTTTTGTTGGGCTCTGCTCTGCCCTCCGGCCCTGCTGTCGTCGACCGTGCGCCACTAACGCGACGGTCCCATCTGGTCCCATCAGGTCCCACCCTGACCAGGCCGCCCCCCTCGTCGGTGGACCTGCCGAGACCGCGCACTTCCACGCCCAAGTCTGGCGGTTCTGCCGCGTCTGATCCCGTTCTCTCGACCAGATCTCGCTCTCCCCGATCTTTCGGCGCTCCGTTTGGTGTGTCCGGGGTCCGTTCGATCCCTTTTTTCGTCCCTTTTGGTTTGGTCCTCCCTGGTCGTCGGCCCGTCCTCCCCGGTCCCCTGCTCTTTTCTCTCGCGCTTCGGTCCGGTCCGGTGCGGTCCGGTCCGGTGCGGTCCGGTCCGGTGCGGTCCGGTGCGGTCCGGTCCGGTGCGGTCCGGTGCGGTCCGGTCCGGTGCGGTCCGGTCCGGTCCGTTCCGTTCCGGTCCGGTCCGGTCCGGTCCGGTCCGTTCCAGTCCGGTCCGGTCTGGTCCGATTCGGACCTTCTCTCCGCCCCACCGCATGACTATCGTCCGAGGCCCGACCTCGGCACTAATTATGACACAACCGCGCCATCCATCTGCATTTGTCAGAGGCCGGCTGAGCGCGCCGCCGCGCGCCGCTTCTGCCGTTCCGCGCTGCTTTTGTTGACGGGAACTCATCGCTCTTGTTTGGGTGTAGCCGGCAGGGAGTGGCCGCCGCTCACATTAGAGGCGCTGTTGTCTGGTCGTGCTTGACGCGGTGGATTAGTGCGGCAATTTACGTGGGTTTGTTTGGTCGAGCCACGTGTGCGCAGAGGGTGGCATAAATCGTGCTCTACACTGTTTTGCGGCATGCATTCATCTGGAGGTTTTCGTCATGCCTTGATATGAAATGACACTCTGTGCACTGTAGAGGGCTTACGTATGTCAGCGTTGTCTGCGGTTTCCCTGCCCCCACAATCTCTTCAGTTTTTCCTGCTCTGGCGTTTCCATAGCCTTTTGAGGCACGTGGGAGGCCCGACAAGGCTCAGCACTAGCCTGTGCTTCCTTTATCGTAATGGCCGTGATTATGTCCGAATAAATGAAACAATGAAAAAAAACTAAAGCGAAAAGCGTCAGCCAATTCACACGTGCCACGATCGCCTTCCCCGCGTGTTCGCCTGTCGCAGACTTCCCGGCTGGCTTCCGAGGGCAACTTCCTACAGTCGGCACATCTCCGCAGCCCTTCCCTCCCCCTCCCCGGCGGAGCTGGCGACAGCGGCAGCTCTTCCGCAGCGCAGCCGCGCCGGCGGCCGACGTAACCTTCAGCGACGTCTTAGCGCGCGCGGCCGGCCCTGCCGCCTTGAGGCGTTCTCAGAAAGCCGTGTCGATTAGCGTGTGCAGCAGCGGGGCCGGCGCCCGGCGGCGGCGCCCAACGCCGGGCGAAGTGAGGCGCCCGCGTCGGGACCCCGTCGGGCCGGCGTCGGGCCCGACTCGCGCCGGGCGCCCGAGTCGGGCCCGCGTCGGGCCCGACTCTGTTCCCGACAGCGTCTGAAGGCGGCGCCTCCGACGCGGCGCGAGGTGGACGTGGCGCACTGCCGGCGCCGCCGCGTGGACTGTGCCGCAGCCGAGCTGGATGTTCGCGGTTTGGCGCGCTGGGCGGGCGGTTTGGCGCGGGGCGAGCATCATCGCTCACCTCGTTATCCCCGTAACAATCCGTGACGGCGCGCCGTCCGCCGCCTGGACAGATTGGTAACCACACAGCGCTTCTCTGTTCCTGACGGGATAATTTATCGTGCCGTTCATCGAATTCAATTATTGCTTGGCGGCGGTCGACTCCCTTTTTTAGCTGTGTGACGGCCGCTCGGTCTGAAACGGAGGCCCGTGTGGGCTTTGAGGACCTCGTCACATATCACGTGCACCGCTGAGTGGCTCGATGATTCGCTGTTAATGAGTGCTAGTCACCACTGCAGGATGCCATTCATTGAATGAACGATAATATACGTACGAATAGCATCGACTAATTCATGCACTAAAAATTGAATAGAGTGACCGGCTAAGCTGACTGGACAGGCTGGGGTACAACGTGTGGCAGCTCAATGTGCACGTTACATGCATGCAGGCAGTATGAGAGCAAAACATGATTCACGTTGGGTCGGTAACTCTGCGTGGAGTTACGTAAGCAAACATTGCCAATGGGCGGGAGTGTTCGTCAACATTCTTTACGGGTTGTCAAACCCGGAATAAGAACATCTTATTTGGTTCTACTTCCGTTCATTCGTCAACATCAATGTGGGGTCGCCCTTCTCTCTTCAGTGCCCCACAAACAGCAATCCCATCTGTTCTTTTCCACCGTATTCCACCTCCTCCTTCTCGCCTGCCTTCACGTGTTTTCCCCAACGGTTACGGGAATTCCTTCGTCCGGCAGCGATTGGACATCCGCGGCCGGATCCGGGTGCTGCAGGGTCAGCACCGCAAGTCGGAAGAGCCGGTGCTGGCGCTGTTCGCGCTCTGTACGCCGTTCGGGCCGCCGTCGTTGCTCGACATGCCGCAGAAGGAGATGATGTTCAAGTCCAAGCACAAGCTGGACCTCACCATGCTCTCCATCGATCAGAGGTGCGTGATGCCCTGTTTTAATTCATATGTGTAACGTCTGCCAAACAGTGAATGGGGGGGGGGGGCAGTAGCCGCTGAAAGGGAGGGGAGATTTTGGGGGACTTTTGTGGCATGCCTGTGGTGAGAACTTGGAGAGCAGACTGGTTGTTGTCACTGCTGACGTGAGCCAGAAGTCAATGACAAGCTTTTAAGTAAATTAGAAAACTATGATAGATTGACAGAACTAGGTGCAAAAATTCACAAAGTAATTGCGAATGCTGTGAGATTTCGTGCTGAAAAGACAAACTCTTCATTTGCCAGCAGGTGCTAGTTACAGGAAATATCAAGGGATGTTTTAAGTACATTGGTAAACTACTCCATCATACACAAATTGAAGGCTCAGTTATTTTTTGCATGTAAAATTAGGTGAATCTGCACTGTTGTTTGCCCTGCCGCACATCTAAAATGACATTTACCGAACGCTGTTCACCTAATACACGGTTTGGTTAAACTCATAATGTCCAGGTGAGCTCTGAAGTTCCAGACATCAGGCCTCACAAGAGCCTGTCCTCCGCGCTGCAGCGAGACATGATTCATGATTAAACTTTTGCGGTCGTCGTTTTTTTGCCACTCCTCTAATGAGTTCCATAAAGGGAGCTACAGCCTACGCCATCGTACAATTTCAAGTTTGCACTGTCCAAGAGTTTGCGGACAAAACGCATTTTTGTTGTTGTGTATGTCTACCTGCTTTATTCTGGTGAGTAGAAAGCGTCCGCAACACTCGCTCGTTTGTCGCCCTACTTCAAGACTGTGACAACCACCTGGCACGTTGAGGAAGCTTCACTTTATGAAGCTGGCCGTGTGCTCAGGGTTGTGCTCTGTCATCTTATCTAGCAGTGTGAAGACCATTGCAGGCTGAGTGTGGAAGGTCTTGAAGGAATTTTGTCGTGCCTAACATCTCAAAAATATCGTGCACGACTATAACATTCCGAATAGCTTGTCATCGGGCTGCGTTTGCCATGTCGGTATTCGTTCTGGCGCCAAAACACACCAATGCGCGAGAGCGATTGCATGTCTTGTTTCGATCCGTCACCAAAGCGGACCAAAGTGCGCCAAAGCCCAGCCCAGCCCGGCCCAGTCCGGCCCCGCCCAGTCCAGTGCAGCCAGCCAGCCCGCCCAGCCCAAGCACCAGCCTCAAGCCCAGCCCAGCCCAGCCCAGCAGCAAGCCAGCCCAGCCCAGCCCAGCCAGCCCATCTCAGCCCAGCCCAGCCCAGCTCAGCCCAGCCCAGCCCAGCCAGCCCAGCCAGCACCAGCCCAGCCCAGCCACAGCCCGCCCAGCCCAGCCCAGTCCTCCAGTGCAGTCAGACCAGTCCAGTGCAGTAGCAGCCCGGTCCAGTGCAGTCCAGCCCAGCCTGCCTAGCCCAGCCCAGCCCAGCCAAGTCACAGTGCAGTCCAGCCCAGTCCAGTGCAGTCCAGCCCAGCTCCCCTGCCTAGCCCCAGCCCAGCCAAGCCCCAGACCAGCCCAGGCCCAGCCCAGCCCAGCCCAGCCCAGCCAAGCCCAGCCCCAAGCCCAGTCCCTGACTAGCCCAGCCCAGTTAGTTCAGGTCCAGCCCAGTCAGCCCAGCCAGCCCAGCCCGGCCAGCCCCAGCCCAGCCCAGCCCAGCCCAGCCCAGCCCAGCCCAGCCAGCCCAGCCCAGGCCCAGCCCAGCCCAGCCCAGCCCAGCCCAGCCCAGCCCAGCCCAGCCCAGCCCAGCCCAGCCCAGCCCAGCCCAGCCCAGCCCAGCCCAGCCCAGCCCAGCCCAGTCCAGTCCAGTCCAGTCCAGTCCAGTCCAGTCCAGTCCAGTCCAGTCCAGTCCAGTCCAGTCCAGTCCAGTCCAGCCCAGTCCAGTCCAGCCCAGCCCAGCCCAGTCCAGTCCAGTCCAGTCCAGTCCAGTCCAGTCCAGTTCAGTCCAGCCCAGTCCAGTCCAGCCCAGCCCAGCCCAGTCCAGTCCAGTCCAGTCCAGTCCAGTCCAGTCCAGTCCAGTCCAGTCCAGTCCAGTCCAGTCCAGTCCAGTCCAGTCCAGTCCAGTCCAGTCCAGCTCAGCCCAGCCTAGTCCGGCAGAGGTTGCAATCTGCGTCGGAGGCGCTAAATAGCCGTCAAGGTCCTCGAATGTGCAGAGGCACCCGGTCGCGCCTGGAGCCGGTGTGTTTTTCTCTGAAGTCAGAGGCACTGGCCCTGGATGCTGGACCGCCCATGGTCAAGGGCAGCGAGGGCTCCAACTGCGGATTGTGGCTGCTGCTTTGGAGCTGCGGCCTTAGTCCGGCGGCTGCATGAGACACTCTTCCTCGGCAGGCTTCTTGGGAGTGCCGTCTCGAAGCTCGAGCTTCCTACGGCCTCGTGCGATGGTTTTCCCCGGATCTTTTTTCGATTTTGTGATTCAGCTACCTATCTTTGCTGCACATATTTAAACTGTGATAGAAGTTATCGCCCGTTTTGAAAAGGTTCCATGGAAAGGAAAACGTGGGATCGACGCTGTGGTGCTTTGCCCCAGCTCTCGAACGTTCATATCATCAATCGAATGACTTACGTTGTTAGCTTTATGCTGGATAAAGTGACCAAAACACTTTGTTTAGCCCTCAGAAAGGACACAACTATGAAATGATAGGCGGTAGAACTGGGGTAGACTTGAGGCAAGCTGTGAGCTTTACCGCATCTTTGGTTTCCTGAATCTGTCATTGATGTACCCACATTTCACCCTACCGCTTCCTACATATCTCCAGATCTTTTTGGCAAAGATGCGGTGCTATCCTGGGCCCGTGGTCAAATTCACAGAACAACTGGCTTGGCCTCTGTCACGTGCTGGTGCTATCATGGCGGATAAAAGCCCGAGAGGTTGCGGCATTCAAGGTTTCTCTGGTTGACGAGACGTAAAGCCATCACAGGACGATTATGGCGATAGCTCGCGGAGGACTTGGCGCAGCGCCGGCTGCTCTGGCTCAAGGCGAGGCCTGCCACCAGCATCGTGTACCAGAGGCGTAAGATTGCCGTGCCACGGTACCAGAAGCCGGTACCGATCAGTTCTGGTGGGCGGTAATCTGTCGATAGTTAGTGTGGTTGTGCTCCATAACCTTGTGCAATCTAATCTTAATGCCGCTTCGGGTAGACCAGCGCAGTGACAGGCAGATAATGAGTAAATCCAGTGGCAGCCCTTTCGTCATACAGAGCATTTGTCCAAGGTTAGAAGCCATCGGATATCTCATGGAGTTCTGTTTGTCATTATCTTAAATCACTGAGCAACAGAATCCTGTCGAGTGAAGGTTCCTTCTACGAAAGCGGGAGCCTTTGCGCGTAAGTGTCCTAAAAGACTGTCAGAGCACCAGTTAACGCGTTACGTTAACGCGTTACGGGCAGATTCCATTTTTGCCGCACATCACGTTTTCCAGCCTCACGCCCACTCACAATGGCCAACTTCACGCGCATCTGGACTGATTCTTATACGGCACTGGCTTAAAGCTAGCGAAAGCCGTGCATCCCATGTCGGTGCTGCCTCTTCGCCAACTCAAAGCGGTACTCTATATAGCAGATGCACGTAGTGCCGGGCATGTTGGGCTAGCGTTGCATTTGGCGTAACTGGACAACTATCATGCACAGCCAAGACTCTTGCCCGTTTTCTTTTCACGGGCGTACTTTCTAGGGACACGGAAAGCCACGCGCAGGGGCATGGTGGCAGAGGGGATGACGTCCTCGGCCACCCCACGCGGGTGCCGGTTTCGAATGTCAGATGCACATCTTCACGGGACGCTGAAGTGTCCACCGTGGCGGTTTACGTTGGGCAAGGGGGTGTGCGACGAAGTGTGCGGTGTTCTCTTCGAAAAGGAAGGCCAGCCGCGAAGGGGGCACCAACCGGGCCCGATTCTGACGCCGCTCTGGGCGCGGCCCGCCTGCTGCCGTTCACACATGGCTCCGTTTCGGCAGGGGCAAGATGCTGCTCGGCTACTCGGACAGCGAGCTGGTCAACAGGAGCGGCTACGCCATGGTTCACCACGACGACATGACCTACGTGGCCAGCGCGCATCAGGAGCGTGAGTACCGGGACAGGAGGGAGAGGGAACGGGCCGTACGCCGCGGCTCCGTGCTGCCATCTGGTGCCGCGATCGCGACACCGCCGGGGGCGTTCTGGAATGCTGCGGGGTATGGGACATGGTGGTGCGGGTTGGACATGCAGTCACTCTCTTGCTGGCTTTGCATATTGGCCCCATATGACGTTACGCTGAACACAATTTTTAGGTGGGGTAGCATGTCTCTCGCCCAAAGAGTTAAACATTTCGGACTTCCGTCATCCCATAGTGAGCAGCGCTGTCCTGGTTTAGACCCTGCCCTGCAGGCAATGGCATAAATATGCTCTCTTTTGAAGTTTGTTGCTCGCAGATTTGATGGAACCATTTACTTTGATTTAACGAGTGATATACGCTTGCTGGACTGCGCAGAGAAAGGATGGTACCGGGCCGGTAACGCGTACTCCTCCGAAAGAATATGGAGTGGTGCTCGAAATCATTTAAAGCTTTTCTGTGCCTACGCTTTCAGGTTAGACTGAATCGTGCCAAATCTTTTCCCTCGGGAAGCTTAATCACCATCGAAACATTTTTGCAGTGCATTTGGTCAACGCATGCATGTACGCGTTGAACGCATAAAGGCAATGCCCCAAATTTGAAGATATTAAATCAAACGTCAGATATGATGAAATTTGCTCACTGACTGGCGACTGTTGGTATACTTTCAAGGCGAAAAGACTACTTTAGATAACCAAATTTCTCTATTCAGTAAAAACGCTCCTCAACACCCTACCATTTGATTGCGTCATAGAAAGTTTGTATTACAACACTCACGTGTGGCTTTTCGATCTGCCGGGAGGTTGTCTGCGGCGGTGCTGGATGTGTTCCAAACCAAATCTCGTTAGGGGCTCGTATTTTGGTCTTCTCGTGGTGTTCTTGCATGTTTATCCGCGAGTTTGAAATGCTTGCGTTCATTCACGTTCTCGGTTTTAGCGCCGTTCTCAAGCTATTCGATTACAAGGCTGACTTCCGTAATAACTTGCATTTTGTAGCACAAAACGCAATTGGTGTAGAATTCTGCATAGCTTACACACCATTGGTTGAAATACATGAGCATGAAGAAAGCGTGGCGGCAGGGTCAGGTCGGACTGGGGCACTCATGCTCGATTTGTTTTTGACCTACTTCAAGTACGACTCAGCCGGACGGGGGCCTTGCTCGTAATCACCGAGGTCGCTTCCTTATGACAAGAGGCGGCTGGCAGATGCAGGCCATGCCAGTCATCAGGCCTCCCAGCACCATTCGGCACCTGACGTTAACCACGCTGCATTTCTCCGCACAATGCACCTCTGGGGAGCCTGAGGTCAAAGGCACACATCGCAGCCTGAGGTCAAAGGCACACATTCCGATAGTTCGGAGCGGCATGGACACCTAATCTGCGCGCTGGACAGCGCTGCTGCACCAGCTCAATACATTGCAAAATCTCCAATTATGTAACCATCAATCAATCTGGCTATGATCGTCTGGTGAGCGTCCTTGCATTGCTGGGAGTCGCCGTCGATGAAGTCGCCGCCTTTTCTGGGAAAGTCTCGTCACACATGTCACGTGATTAAGCTGGCTGGTGAATGAAAACCCAGGCGACGCTCACCGCACGACAACGCTGGTTTTCGACTGGTTTTCCCGAATTTCGCGCAGGACCATGCGGGGTCGTGGGAAGGTCTTCTCCGATTTCGGCACATAACTGCGGGCGATGGCGACCAAATACATCCTTCTCCGCTTTCCAATGCCAGGAACCGCTGCGGTTGCGAGCTGCGAACCTCTGAGATGCGTTTTTTGTCTGTCCACGGTGTGGGTGCAGCGCCTTCCTGCCTTCCGCGAACGTGATTCTGGCATCGTCGTGGGAAAAGGAAAGTAGCACGCGAGCTTAACCCTTCGGAACCATCGTTCGACTCCTGTTATCTGGGGTAGGGGAGTGGCAACCCTCGCTGTCACGTGCACCTCAGACTGTCTGAGAATGGACTTATCCAGCGGCGTCAGATATGTGTGACTAACAGTATGCGGAACATCATTGCACGCGGTGAACATTACGAGCTCTAATGCGCATTAGTGTCGCCTTAAAGTCCCGCCCAAGAGAGGGTAGTTGGGGCCGCTCAGCTCCCATCTCTAGTGCTTACCCGCCCCCGCTGGCCTATAAACTCCCTGACCCCCCCCCCCCCCCCCGGCCGACCAGTGCCGGTTGTTGCGACATCTAAAGTCGACCCTCTCACGTCTCTCGGGGGGCCGGTGAGCCAGAGGGGACATCTGAAGTGGAATCTCTTACGTCTCTCGGGGTGGCCGGTGAGCCAGAGGGGACATCTGAAGTGGAATCTCTCACGTCCTCCGGGGGGCGGTGAGCCAGAGGGGACATCTGAAGTGGAATCTCTCACGTCCTCCGGGGGCCGGTGAGCCAGAGGGGACATCTGAAGTGGAATCTCTCACGTCCTCCCGGGGGCCGGCGAGCCAGAGGGGACCGGCTGTCCCTGGAGGCCCGTGGGACGCCCGGCCGCGGAACTATCGGTGACCGCGGCGACCGCCGCTCCTGCGGGAGGGGGTCGCAGCAGGCCTGCCCCCGGCTGACGTCATGAGAATGACTTAAGCTGTCGCCTCTGGTAGGCGACGCGGACCACCGGAGCCGACGTGGCGGTGATAGGCTGCGGGATGGCGGCTGGCTGCCCAGTCAGCTCCAGACCAAGTTGGACTGCGCAGTTTTAGATTGCGATTGGTCACTGGAAGGTGTTATAAGGGCATCAGCAAAATCCCGGGAAAGCAGAACCTTGATGAAGCCCTGAGCGGATAACATATCTCAGGAGCCCGAACGACGAAAATTTACCATTTACTATTTACCATTTTTACCATTTGAGCAGCCACGGGACATGAACAGGCTGCAGGGCCTGGAGCCGCCCCGGAGACGTACGGGCTGACCGCGAAATCCTCACTTCTCCTGTTGGGCGGGTACGCTTGAGAGTGACCTATTCCCTGGCGGGCCAGGCCGGGAAGAGCCACAGGAGACGCCTGGCCCGGCAGCTTGTGAGACCGGTCTCCTCGCGAGTCCGGCGGACCGGGAGACCAGTCTCCTCGCGAGGCTGGCGGGCCAGGAGACCAGTCTCCTCGCGAGGCCGGCAGCCTGGGAGACCGGTCTCCTCGCGAGGCCGGCGGGCCGGGAGACCAGTCTCCCGCGGCCTGTCCATCGGCGGAGCTGTCGGAGCGAGCGAGCGGCGCCGGCTTCTGGCGCCGCTGTCCGGCCGCTCGGTGTACAGAAGGCCGCTGCTGTCGGCTCACATCGGCGTTGAGCCGCCTGCAACGCCCTCATCCGCGGCATCTACGCTGCCGCCCGGAAAGAGGCCGGCTCGCCAGATCAGCCGCCTGTCTAATCCTCATGGCCAAGGACGGGCCTGCCCTGACGTGCGCCGCGCGACGCCTCCGTCCCCTCCCCCCCCCCCCCCCCTCCTCCCACGCCGGCGTCGCGTCCTGCACAGCCTCGGCGTGCCGAAGATTTTTCGGGCATTTTCGGTCGCGCGCGCGTTAAGCTGCTTGGATCGCGCAGCCGGAGGTGTGCGAAACATTCCGTCGCGTGGATTAGAGCGTGGTCGTGTTGGCGAGCTCTGTGCACGGCCTGGCTGATGGGGCCGGCGTGCACTGCGCAGATGCAGGCGTGCTTTCAGCCGGGGCTTAAACGCCGACGGAAGGGGGCAAACCGGTGAGAGGAGACGGTGCAGGATGCCCCGTTCACCTTTCGGCTTTGGTCTCGAAAAACGTGGTTCTTGGATTCATGCTTAGCCTGGCATTGCCGTCTTTCCCAGTTCTCCGAAGTCTTAAGGCTTCTCCGCCCCTTCGTTACCTTCCAAATAACGGTCCCGCGACGACCTACTCGCCAATATTGCGGCGCAAATGTAGCGATATCTGACGGCGCCTCCAAGACGTCCGTCGTTATCTCGCGTCGCGGCTGCCGGCCGTACCAATGGACCGTCGGCGTTGTCAGCTGACGCCGAATGGTAGCTGCCGGCCGACCTTGCCGCCGCGTGCTTGCCGGGAAGACGCGAGCCAGAGCACGGCGCAGGTGCCGTGCGGCCAAATCCTTGCAGCCACACGCCTCCGAGTCATGCGACGCCGCCTGCCCCCCCCTCCCCTCTCCCGATGCCATCCGTCTTCCGAGCGAGACGTGGGCGCGTCGCCGCCCCTCCGCAGACCGTGGCGCTGCTGGTCCGCCGCCATCTTCGCGTGCTCTATGACCCCTGACCTCTGGCGGCCAGGCGGCAGCGCGGAGTGCCACCGGCCAAAACGCGCCGTGGGAAGAAAAAAGACACCAGCGTCCTTCCCGTGCCGTTCGGTCGCATGCCGACGGCAGCGGGAGCGGCACGCGACGCGCCTGGCGTCACGCGCGGCGTGACGGCCGTCACCGGCCGGTTCGGGATGGCTCACCAGCGGCGGAAGCCAGCACGCGACAGAGTGACGCGCGACCGCAGCCTCCGGTCTTCTGGGGAATCCCGGCGCCGGTGGCGGCGGTCGTCCGGCCGACCACGTGGCGTGCTCGGCCGGCCGGCCACGTGACGGCAGTCTGCAGCTGCTTGGTGCGCACGTGACAGGAGTCTGTGGCCGTCGGTGGACCACGTGGCAGGAGTCTACGGTCATTTAGTGTACGAGGAGACGGTGTACCACACGGGCGTGACTTTCGCCGACGAAGACAGCCCGAGTCGAGTGCCTGAGGCCGAACCTGTTTGCCAATTTAGTGTTTCGTGGTGCCCTGTTGTAATGGGCGGGGCGAACTGCAACGCACCATTATCAGAGACCAGGGGTAATTCTCTTACAGGATTACAGGTTTACAGGCCAGGATTTTCATACGGGATGTGGGGAGGGGGGCAGCGGTGCTCAGGGAAAACGCACTTTCTCACTCGCTGTGTTGCTGTTTCTAGAAATTTCTGTGAAGAGCCACCTGTGACAAACAATTAAGAATATAGGTTTACCTCCCCCTTGGGTGCGCCTGTGCCAAAGATGT